ATGATAAAATCTCCGTATGACAAAGATGATGAAATGGCCCTAGTGGGTAACACTGAAATGGTGCTTCTCTTCTCAGGGTGGGGACCCATGGAGCCTCACCGTGTGCGCCTGTCACCTGTGGTTCTGAGGGAGAACGGAGTCAACATCCAGCTCTCCCTGAAGCTGTCTCAGCTCAGTGCTCTGCCTAATAGCATCACTATCTGAAGAAACCCTAATGATCTCTTGTCTCTGGCTTCCATTCAAAGACTTGCAGGACACACCCCATCATCCCTATTGGAGGTCCAGGCATCCTAAATAGCCTGTCGTCCCACAGATATTTGTTTCCGTTTTGTGCTGTAATCCCACCCCTCCATTCATTCCACTGTGTGCTCTGCCATTTACCGTGTGCATCAGTCAACTCCCTGCCAGGCATTCCTACTACTCCTTCCCAGTAGCTTTATTCTTCCTCTTTGAAATACATATTTCATATTCTTATTTTCTTCTCAAACATCTCTCATATTTCATGGCAAATGAGATGACATCAGATATGAAACTGCATTATCTTCTCATCACCTAAATGGCTCACACCTACCTGACTAGATTCATGCATCCCACCTTCACTCTTGTTAAAATGGATTAAATATCCCCACATGAATCTGACCAACCCCACCACATGCCCTGAATCTCAGTTCATTTTTTTCCCTTTCAAGAACAGTCTTTTTTAAATTACCCACTTTCTGTCCTATATTGTCATTTTCTCTTTCTACTAGATTATTCCAGCAAGCAAGCATGCTTTTATGGCATCCATTTAAAAAATTTCCCTGACCCTTAGACTCATTCCAACTACTGCTTCATTTCCTTTTTCCCTTTACAGAAAAACTCCTTGAAAGAAATTTTTATAATTGTCTACAGTTTTGCATCTCATTCTCTAATAAACTTACTTTAATCATGCTTTATCTCCATCATGCCATTCAAATGATTTTCATCTGGATCACGTGCTAATAATAGCTAACACAGAGTGCCTGCTATGAGGCAGGGGATGCTCTAAATACTTTGTACATATTAACTCACTTAATCTTCTAACCAGTCATATGAAGATGGTGCTATTAATATTCATCTTTTAGACATGAAAAATGCTAATCAAAGATAGTTGCTGACTTGCGCAAGGTCACACCGCTATTTAGAGGAGCTTAGATGTGAACCCAGCTACTTCTTGCTTGGAAAATCCCACGGACAAAGGAGCCTGGTGGGCTATAGTCCATAGGGTCTCAAAGAGTTGGACATGACTGAAGGGACTTCGCACACGTGCACTCTGGTTTTGGAGGCTCTGTTTGAACTGCTGCACCATATTACTGTTTTGATAGACAATTATTTTGCTTTATTTATTAAAGCTTTCAGCAGCATCTGACATAACTGGCCAATCTCTGTTTCTTGAAACAGTTTATTCTTTGACTTTCCTTTGTCTCATGCCTTTGTCTCATGTTCTTTTCCTCTTACTTCATGTTCTGCTCCCCAATTCTAGAATTAGGTTCTGGACTATTATTTCTCTGCTTCTCTATGAGTGGTCTTTCCGTGGTAATTAGTCAGTGTATGACTAAATATCACCTATTAACCTAACTCTCCTAAGTTGTATCTGTAGTCCAGATCTCTTTCCTGAACCTCACTGTGTAAATGATGCTGCCTGGTTTACACCTCTGCTCCGGTGTCTTGTAAGACTCTCAGACTTAACAAAGACGAAACAGAAGCACAGTAATTCTGACCCAACCCAACTCTTGACAAACACCTCTTTCCCAGGCCTCCTCTATCTTCCAGAACCACCAACTTTTAATTCCTCAGGACAAGCTTAGGAGTAATCTTTAACTCCTCTTTCCCTCACAGCTCACATTCAATCCATTCAAACCAACTACCCTGAAATGCCCCTCATCTGGTACTTCATCACAACCTTTCATGTCCTGAACTCTGGTAGCCCCTTCATGATTGGTATCACTGTTTCCACTCCTGCTTTCTTCAGTCTTTTCTCTAAAGAGCAGCCTGAGTAAACTCCTAAAGCATTAATGAGATGGCGTGCCTGACTCTTTGTGACCCCATGGACTGTAGCCTTGCCAGGCTCTTCTGTCCATGGAATTCTCCAGACAAAATTACTGGAGTGGGTTCTCCAGGGGATCTTCCTAACCCAGGGATCGAACTCAGGTCTCCTGTATTGCAGGCCGATTCTTTACTATCTGAGCTACGGGAGAAGCCCTCATGATAACATATCCACTCAAAGGCTTTGTCTTGCAATGAGAAAAAAATTCAATCCCTTCACTGTGGCACACCTGCCCCTAAGCCATTTTGCTCCATCTCTGACACATTGTCCTCGGCCTCAGCTGTTCCACCACGGTGCAGCCGCACTGGTCACTTGCTGTCCTGGGAACACACCCCACGTCTCCCCATTTCAGAACCATGTCATTTGCTGCTCCGACTCTTTGGAAACTTCTTTCTTTCTTAGCTCTTCATCCTGGAGGCTTCCTTTCTCATCGCTCAGGTCATCATTCAGATTACCTCCTCAGAGAGGTCCTCCCTGAGACTCTCATACAAGTCTGCCTTCCCTCCCTGTTTGGTTACTCTCCGTCGCATTACCCTACTGCATCTCTTTTAAGGAGCTAGAAAATCTACTGTGGTTTTACTTAATCTTTAGTCCCTAAGGATTATTCACTTTCTCCACAGGTATATGAGCTTTTTGAGGGCAGGTCTCTATCCATCTTATGCATTGTTGCATCCCCATTACTCAGAACTATCCCTGGTATGTGGTAGTAACTCAATTAGAGTCCGTCATACAGAGTGAAGTAAGTCAGAAAGAGAAAAAATAAATATCGTTTATTAACATACATATGTGGAAACTATAAAAATGGTACAGATGAACCTATTTGCATATCAGGAACAGAGATACTGATATAGAGAACAGACGTGTGTACCCAGGAGGGGAAGGAAAAGGTGGGATGAATTGGGAAGTTAGGACTGACTTATACTACCATGGAAAGACTGATCATTGGAAGGACTGATGTTGAAGCTGAAACTCCAATACTTTGGCCACCTGATGCGAAGAGCTGACGCATTGGAAAAGACCCTGATGCTGGGAAAGATTGAGGGCAGGAGGAGAAGGGGACGACAGAGGATGAGATGGTTGGATGGCATCATGGACTCAATGGACACGGGTTTGGGTGGACTCCGGGAGTCGGTGATGGACAGGGAGGCCTGGCATGCTGCGGTTCATGGGGTCGCAAAGAGTCGGACACGGCTGAGCGGCTGAGCTGACTGACACTGCCGTGTGTGAACTAGATGGCCAGTGGGAAGCTGCTCACATAGGGACCTCGGCTCAGCGCTCTCTGGTGCGGTGGGACAGTGGGGTTGGCGGGAGGTGCAGGGCAAGGAGATAAACATATACATATAGCTGATCTTTGTTGCTGTACAGCAGAAATTAACAACATCGTAAAGCAATTATGCTCCAATAAGAAAAGGGAATAAGTGAGGTTCAGTGTAGAAAACAGTATTTTGACTTGCATATTACATAAAGCATTTAATAAGTTGAGAGAAACTGAATCATTATTGGCTAAGAAAGTATTGTCTAGAGCACAAGGAACAGAAATTTGGCTTTCAAGTTTTTCCCTTTTGTAGAGATAGCCTTCTGCTTGAAGCACACACAAAGAAATCCCTGTTTGTATCTACCGTGGCAGAAAAATCTTCATGGCACTGGAAATGGTACCTGCTTCTTCCAAATTCTTTTGAGGATTATGCGTCAAAGCTACACCTGAGCCTCTTGGTCTCACATAGGGAAGGAGATGGACAATGAGTGTGATCTGTTCTCACAAGAAAAATATAAACAATCTAACCTGAGTTCCTGCTCAGTGGTTCCCCATCTCTAAGGGGAAGATTAATATAAATGCATGCTGTCCTAACCTCATTTGCAAAATGGGTCTTAATATGTTTATAACATTAAATAGCTTCAGATGTCCTACTTTTCTATTTAAATCTCTGTTTTTATAGCAGTCACATGTTTTAAAATTTCTGAAAACATAACATTTCAACAAATGTTTGATTTTAAGCTGTTTTTAGCAGATGGAACTTTTGGTTTATCATTTCACAGTAGGATTAATACTTTGAAGAAGGAATGCTGGGGAAAAAGAAACAATGAAGGCAAACTTGAATCCTATCTTAATGTGATAAGTGGGGTACAAAAATTTCAATCACCTAAACAGCTGGGTAACCTTACTGTGAGGCTAACCAAATGGCTAATGGAGGCTCACAGCTTACTGGACTGGGTTTTTCCAGGGTGGGTATAAGTCCATCCATGTTCTGACTGTGGTTGTTGCATTGGGTGGCAGTTGTTCCCTCAGGCAAAATTGACAGGAATGATCTGTGGGTCCTGAGACTGGATAGAACTTTCAGGAAAATGGTAGCAATTTCAAAAATCACCCAGTTAGTTCATTTCCAAGAAAACTGAGCAGAAGAATCCTGAGGAGGTAGGTTCCCACCCTCTGCTTTCCTAATTTCTGAAAGAAATTCCCTTCCTGACTCTTAGCCTCAACCCTAGAGAGTATAACCTAAAGACTATCACCTTTATCAACCCACCCACTTTGAGAATAAGGCTCGTCTCAGCCCCAGTAGAGGGCACTTTGTCCATGGAGTAACCCTACTTTGATCAACATGTTGAACAAAAGGTGTGAAAAAAAAAAAGCCACATGCAAATAAATATGTTTTTGATGGCACCACATATTGCCTCTATATTTCAGACTGTTCTAACAGCTCATTCTAATCTAGCCACTAATTGTTCCTGCTTTACCAAGCATTTACTGATAGAAATGGTCCTACCACATTTAGCAAAGAACTCAAATCTGCATTATGGAGTCAGCATCATTGTATTTCTAGTTTCATGCATGGCGGATCCTTTATAGAGCTATATTTAATGCACTTCTAATTAAAAAGGGGGGAAAGTATCCAAAGCTTTCTCACTGTTATTTCATCTTTTGTTTTTCCGTGTGCAGCTCACCATGTTAAAACGGGCACTTGCGAAGTGGTGGCACTCCACAGATGCTGTAATAAGAACAAGATAGAAGAACGGTCACAAACAGTCAAGTGCTCCTGCTTCCCTGGGCAGGTGGCAGGCACCACACGAGCTGCTCCATCTTGTGTGGATGGTGAGGCTTCTTCCATTGCTCTTGTGATAGTGTGACTGGGGACCGCACAGAACTGGAATTTCACTGTGATTCTCAATTCTGGGGTTCATCCCGGGGGACCACACCATCAATCGTATGGTTGACACAAGATCATTTGAAGAGCATTCTGAAATTTAAAATCCACTGAAAGAAGATCTAAGGACTTACGCAGTCTTGCAGGAAAGGCACTATAATGAGGTTCCAAGGAGTCCATGTACTTCTTACTTTGATACCATGAAATACCGATTTGCCAGTGGAGGGCCAGTGTGTATGTTTGTGTGTGTAAATTAATTGGCAAAGGCAATACGAAAATAGATGATTAAATAGTTTGGGGTCCTTAAACCCATGGATGGTTCTTAAGAATGAAAAAATAAACATCATACATATGAATGAATGTTTAGTTGTGGATAGAAGTCACATGAAATATTTTTATAGAGATTCATCAAAATGTTAATTTCTTTCTTGGAGGATTCACCTAATAGGATATAAATATTTATGTGGATCTGTATAATTGATGTGATCATAAATAATATTTTGTTAAGTGCTCATATATTTTCATGGTGCATTCTTTGCAATGATTATTACTGCCCATAGTTAAAAAAAAAAAAGACATCAATTTGAATGCCTTCCTGATTTTAGTCTACTTGGGGGACATATTACATTGATTCTAAAATATTGATTCTAAACTGGTCATGGACTCAATTTCTTATATGTTTATGTAAATAGGCACATGAATACATCCACATAGTTTGTTTCTAATATGCTAATTTCCATGAAACCTATGTGTTTGTATGAAAAACCCTTCAAAAATCTGCCTATCATTAACAATACTGTATTATACACTGAACATGAGATCTACCCTCTTAAAGTTGTAAGTATTCTTATCACAATAAAATTTTAAAAAATTAAAAATATTTTTAGTCAGAAAATCTATAAAAATGTATTCCACTTGGACCAAAAACAAAAAAAAAAGCATGCATACCCAGAGAATTAACAAGTCCAAATAGAAAATCTTGAATTGCTTTTTTTTTTAAATCTCTTATAGCTTCCATAGTGGAACAGAAATGGTGGTGCCATATGCAACCGTGTCTTGAGGGAGAGGAATGTAAAGTTCTTCCAGATCGGAAAGGATGGAGCTGTTCCTCTGGGAATAAAGTGAAAACAACTAGGGTAAGTGGACAGTCAGTCTGTGAAAATAAAAGACCGCTGAATTCATAGAGCATGGAGCATGTGCAGTGACCTCTTTAAGTGGTTGTAGGATTGACAGGGTACAATTTTGCATAGTACATTTTTTCCTCATTTTCTCCCTAATTCATTTTTTCATAGCAGATTTTGTTTCACTCAGAGTAATGTCTGTAACACCAACAACTGTCGTGTTACCTAATAATGAAACACTGTTTATTCCTTGATGAGATACTCGCAGCAATGTGAACTGCCCCCAACCCCTGCTGGAGGATGCATGTTAAATGCTGGGGAGGTGACCCCAATCCCTCATTCTTCTGATGGATAGTAATCTGAGTAAATCCTGAAAAGAAAGAGAATTTATTTATGACTCAATAAACATTTCCTAGTTAATATTCTTTCATTTTTATGAAAGTAATTCTTTTGACCTCCCTAATTTCTGGATCAATAAATAGTTTTCTAATGGTTAAGTTTGGAATCATTGTAATGAGGTACCTAGTGTAGTTTTCAAATCTCAGGGTCAGTATAAAAGGAATGCTCTTCAGATGGTGATGTATTTTGCCTTGCAGTGACCGATTTCTGGGGAGAAGTGAAAAATAGTTTTATTCTTTGATTTTCTAATTACTCCCAATGGATATTCTAGACTGGCAGAATTTAAATTCTTTGTGGAATCAGCAGATGAAAGTTCTGTCTTATTTTGCTTTTTGCTCTGAAGGGAAAGCTGACTATTGCTTAGAATTGGATAACTGGGGACTAGAAGATAATAATATTTTGTAAAAAGTAACATAAAATTAGAGACTAGTTAACTTAGGGTATTATTTCACAATAGCAGTTTCTTTTTTTTTAAATCTTGTCTGGACATATTCAAGAGGATTAATTTAAAATCCCATGAGATATAATGTTGAGTAATATCTTTAGTGTATTTTCTGTGTATTCAGACATACACAGAAGTAACCAAGTTTATAATAAAAAATAACTTTATATTTTGTCAAATGATTCATGATTCTAACTTGTCAGTTAAATGCTGACAGTCCTTTCTAAAATCCATGGAGGACATGATCAGTTAATTAGAATAATTGTATTATTCAGTTAGCACATGATATAATCCATATTGATTTGTTAAAATCATTCTAGCAATATAAAACTTCCTTATAAGCTACTTATAGCATGAAAATTCTGTCCCCACCCCCAAAATTATTAACCCTTTGTATAAAATAGCACTGTGTGAAGATTTGACTATGAAACATTTTTTTTTAAAGTAGTGATTCATCTAAGTTCTATGGTTTTCCTTCCTTTTCATGTCTGAGTAATATTCCATTCTATATATGTACCACAGCTTATTACTTATCTGTTCCTCTATTTATGGACATTTAGGTTGCTTCCATATCTTGATTATTGTAAATAGTGCTGCAATGAACACGGGTGCATGTATCTGTTTGAATTATGGTTTTCTCTGGGTATATGCCAAGGAGTAGGATTGCTGAATCATATGGTAGCTCTAGTTTTAGTTTTTTAAGTAATTTCTGTGCTGTTCTCCATAGCGGCTGTATCCTTTACATTCCTACCAACAATGCAAGATGATTCCCTTTTCTCCACATCTTCTCCAGCATTTATTGTTTGTAGATTTTTTTGATGATGGCTATTCTAAGCTCAACATTCAGAAAACTAAGATCATGGCATCTGGTCCCATCACTTCATGGCAAATAGATGGGGCAACAGTGGAAACAGTGGCTGACTTTATTTTTGGGGGCTCCAAAATCACTGCAGATGGTAATTGCAGCCATGAAATTAAAAGACGCTTACTCCTTGGAAGGAAAGTTATGACCAACTTAGACAGCATATTAAAAAGCAGAGACATTACTTTGCCAAAAAAGGTCTGTCTAGTCAAGGCTGTTTTTTCCAGTGGTCATGTATGGATGTGAGAGTTGGATGGTGAACAAAGCTGAGCATCAAAGAATTGATGCTTTTGAACTGTGGTGGTGGAGAAGACTCTTGAGAGTCCCTTGGACTGCAAGAAGATCCAACCAATGCATCCTAAAGGAGATCAGTCCTGAGTGTTCATTGGAAGGACTGATGCTGAAGCTGAAACTCCAATACTTCGGCCACCTCATGGGAAGAGTTGACTCATTGGAAAAGACCCTGATGCTGGGAGGGATTGGGGGCAGGGGGAGAAGGGAACGACAGAGGATGAGATGGTTGGATGGCATCACCGACTCGATGGACATGGGTTTGGGTGGACTCTGAGAGTTGGTGATGGACAGGGAGGCCTGGCGTGCTGCGATTCATGGGGTTGCAAAGAGTTGGAGACAACTGAGTGACTGAACTGAACTGAACTGAACTGATTCTGACTGGTGTGATGTGATATGTCATTGTAGTTTTGATTTGCGTTTCTCTAATAATTAGTGATTTTGAGCATATTTTTGTGTGCTTGTTGGCCATCTCTATGTCTTCTATGGAGAAATATCTGTTTAGGTCTCCAGTCCACCATTGATTGAGTTGTTTTTTTGATACTGAACTACATGCACTGTTTGTATATTTTGGAGATTAATCCTTTGTCAGGTGTTCCATTTGCAAATATTTTCTCTGGTTCTGAGGGTTGTCTTTTCGTTGTGTTTGTGGTTTCCATTTGCTGTGCAAAAGTATTTAAGTTTAAATAGGCAGAGTTTTGAATGGACCTGGAGGTTGCCAAACAGTGTAAAGTAAGTCAGAAAGAGAAAAACAAATATTGTACATTAACACATATGTGGAGAGTTTTTAAAAATGGTATAAATTATCTTCATTGCAAAGCAGAAATAGAGACACATATGTAGAAAACACATGGATACCAAGGAGGATTTGTGGGGGGGGTGGAGGTAGAATGAATTGGGAGGTTGTTCAGTTCAGTTCAGTTCAGTCACTCAGTTGTGTCTGACTCTTTGCGACCCCATGAACCGCAGCATGCCAAACCTCTCTGTCCATCACCAACTCCTGGAGTCCACCCAAGCCCATGTCCATTGGTGATGCCATCCAACCATCTTGTCCTGTGTCATCCCCTTCTTCTCCTGCCCCCAGTCCCTCCCAGCATCAGGGTCTTTTCAAATGAGTCAACTCTTCACATGAGGTGGCCAAAGTATTGGAGTTTCAGCTTCAGCATCAGTCCTTCCGATGAATATTCAGGACTGATTTCCTTTAGGATGGACTGGTTGGATCTCCTTGCAGTCCAAGGGACTCTCAAGAGTCTTCTCCAACACCACAGTTCAAAAGCATCAATTCTTCAGAGCTCAGCTTTCTTTACAGTCCAACTCTCACATCCATACATGACCACTAGAAAAACCATAGCTTTGACTAGATGGACCTTTGCTGGAAAAGTAATGTCTCTGCTTTTTAATATGCTGTCTTGGTTGGTCATAACTTTCCTTCCAAGGAGTGTCTTTTAATTTCATGGCTGCAGACACCATCTGCAGTGATTTTGGAGCCCAGAAAAATAAAGTCAGCCACTGTTTCTACTGTTTCCCCATCTATTTGCCATGAAGTGATGGGACCAGATGCCATGATCTTACTTTTCTGAATGTTGAGCTTTAAGCCAACTTTTTCACTCTCCTCTTTCACTTTCATCAAGAGGCTCTTTAGTTCTGCTTCACTTTCTGCCATAAGTATGGTGTCATCTGCATATCTGAGGTTATTGATATTTCTCCCGGCAATCCTGATTCCAGCTTGTGCTGCCTCCAGCCCAGCGTTTCTCATGATGTACTCTGCATATAAGTTAAATAAGCAGGGTGACAACATAAAGCCTTGATGTACCTCTTTTCCTCTTTGGAACCAGTCTTTTGTTCCATGTCCAGTTTTAACTGGTGCTTCCTGACCTGCATACAGGTTTCTCAAGAGGTAGGTCAGGTGGTCTGGTATTCCCATCTCTTTCAGAATTTTCCACAGTTTATTGTGATCCACACAGTCAAAGGCTTTGGCACAGTCAATAAAGCAAAAGTAGATGTTTTTCTGGAACTCTCTTGCTTTTTCAATGATCCAACAGACGTTGAATTTGACATATACATATACATATATATATATGTCAATCTCAACATCTGTTGGATATGTGTGTGTGTGTATGTATGTATATATATATATATATATATACATACATACACACTATGTATGAAACAGATAATTAATGAGACCCTACTGTATATATAGCACAGGGAACTATATTCATGCTCTCTGGTGACCTAAATGGGAAAGAATCCCGACAAAGAGGGATGTATGTGTATCTATGGCTGATTCACTTTGCTGTACGGTAGGAACTGACCCAGCAGTGTAAGGCAACTATGCTCCCATAAAAAAGTTCTATGTTTTTATTAAATGAGTGGATAATGATGAAGCTAACATTTATTAGATACTTAAAATATATGCCATATACCGAAAACATGCTTCATGTGAACTAGCTCGTTTAATCCTCTTAATAGCCTGGTAAAGAAGGTAATAGTATCTCTTTTTTACAGCTGAGTAAACCAAAGCTTTAAAATGTTAAGTGACTTCTCAAGGTCATATAGCTAATTAATGAGAAGTTAGAGTTCAAACTATACATTTTTTATTACAGAAACTAACCTCTGAACCCCTAGTTTATACTAGATCATTTATCTTATGTAACTGTTTAAAATTTACTATAATTCTGTTCAAGCAGACCTTTAAAAATATTTTTAGCTTTTCAGATCATTGAAATGAAAAGGTTGGGACCCTGTGATCCAAATTCTCATAATTAATTGTTTCAGAAGTGTTGCTTTACTCCCTGTTTGGCCATATTCTCAATAGTTCAAAGTTAAAATTGAGTCTCTGCTTCACAAATTCTTCCTAGTGTAATTAAACAAGATGGATAAAAGACTTAGAGCTTGTGAGTAGGGAAAACCACATCTAGATCCTCTGGTGTATTTTAGTTATAAGTTTATATGCCACTTACAGCGGATTGCCCTTTTTATTTTTCCTTCATCTCTTTTACCCTAGAGAACAGCTGTAAA